AGGGGAGGGAACAGCGTTGTTGTATTATGACTGGACTATCAATCCAGAGAGCTGGGCAATGTTCTGGGAGCTGGGGTTCAAAATCCACTACAGGTAGTTCTGCTATAATGTGTGTTTCGTTAATGCAAATTGGCTGTAATGCAATTGATGAATGGTGGATGCTGTTTGGATAACACGAACTTTCTGCTGTACAGGTATAGCGATTCCCCTATAGTGCAATTTTCTATAGCACGGTCACGCAAGAACACAACTATTTCATTAAGGGAGAACTATAATGCATTTAATAAAAACATCTGGAATTAAGACTTTAACGATGACCATGAAGCCATTGCCAATTGTCAGAAAAACCCATCTGGCTCACTAATGTCCTTTAGTGAAGGAAATCTGCCATCCTCACCTGGTCTGGCCTACATGTGACTCCAGACTCACAGCAATGTGGATGACTCTTAACTGCCCTTTGGGCAATAAATGTTGGCCTAGTCAGCAATGCCCTCATCTCAAGAATGAACATTAAAACAAAAAGCTATACCTGACACCTAAGGTCCCAGGATAGTCAGCAGGGGATATGAAGGAAGGTTTGCATTTCTGGCTCAGCACATGTTAACGCGAGTCAAAGAGACTTACCCTGGCTGCTGCTGGGTAGGGAGCTTGGGGGATGGGCGTTATCCCCAATTTGTTCTGCATTGCAGTCGCTGAAACGATCTGTGCTGAAGACATGGCGGCCATATTCTGCAGGGCTTTGTCTTTTGAGGCTTGATCCTTTGGAAATAAAGAAAGCTGGATGAGCAAAGCTGGGTGGAAGGACAAACAGATGCAAAGAAGAGCATGGGCAGTGAATCTGAAGAGAAGCAAAGGTGTCAGAGAACAGACAGTGGGAATGAGTGGTTAAAGCAGCCAAGTTATCTTGCATGAAGCTTAGTTAGTGGCCGTGCACATTTCACCCACCTAATGGTATCATGGCACATCACCCTGGACCCAAGAAAATCAATCCCTTTCCAGCAGTCAGGAAATGGTTTGTCCCGTTTGAAAAATAAGGCTCACTTTTCGGCTGATCAACAGTCGGGGCAACACAGCGAGAAAGACCCCAATATGCTTTCTGTCAATATAGCGGATTAAGGACTTCTGTTCGGTTCAGAAATCTAACAGTGTCACTGTGAGCCAGAAAGGGAGGAGGAACCATCCTCTCAGGATTTTTCTAGTGACTAGTGAATTCTAACAGTGAATGAGTGGAACTGTAGACAGCTAATCTTCAGCCAGCTCCATTACTGATAACAGGAAGGTACGGTGCAGGAGACTATGGAAAGTTAATAATTTCAGCAAAATGTCATTTTTATGTTGACTGCAAGCTTTAAACTGTCTCTTTTAAAAAAAAGACTTGATGACTTTTGGGACCTTTAATGATTCACAGTCATTTGATTCCATTGTAAGACTTCAGAACCCCTTTAGCAGCTCATTTCATAATGGATTGTCCATGCTGTGACCGCTCAGTGCTCAAAACTGGTTTTGAAATGGTCCCGAACATGACAGCAGCAACGATTGGTCAGGGTTCATTTCCATCCTTCACCTTCCCTGTGGACATGTTCCACCACTTGCAGGAACCCTGGCTTAGGCCAATCAGAATTCTCAAGTGACAAGTGGTCTCGGTTCCCGCACAGATCAAAAACACTGATTGGAGTCACATCATGGAACACACAGCAATGAGGCAGATAGTGACAGTATAGTGGGCGGTGAAGAGACATGTTAGTTATTGCACGAGTTTGGAAACCCTGAAGACATGGGCGTTAAAGCCTTGTTGTAGGCTTTGATCATATTTAGACAGCAGGACCATGTGCAAAAACATTTGATGAGGATGATATAGGCTATTTCATGGAGACACCAGAGCTGAGAACAGATCCCATTGTAAAATTCATTGATGCCATCAGGAATGCCTGTAGTTAACTTATGATAAGTTCAATTATTGCTCACCATGTTGTATAATCAGAATGAGTAAATGGTATTGTTTATAGCTTCTAAATGGCACTAGCTACATTTCGCAAGTGAACTAATCAGGTTCTAGGATATGAACTGTATTCCATGGTTAATCTCCTATCTGCTATTCTCACAAATATTATTGCCTTCACCCCAAATTACTGGCAAGTGCTGAGATAGTAGAGGCAACAGTAAAGGATTTACTATTGAGTATTTATCCCAAGGCTCCTGATGTGTGTCAAGGCCCACTTAGAAATGATTGGAGGAGCGTTACTGGGGAAATGTTTGGGCCTCCCATGAGTTGGACCAATCCACCTCAACATGACAGAATAGGAGTCTGCCCACTCACTTTGTAAAGTGCTTTTCATGAAATTAGTTTGAAACGTTCTTAATTCAGTCACAATTGAGCAGATTGCTGCCCATCTCTTTTAGAAAGGTGACAAAGGGTAGTTGGCATAGAAAAGTAAGTGTCACACTGGTGCATTCAAGTGAGTCTCCTTCCAAGTTTGTAGACACAGTACTGAAGCACCTGGAAGTCACGCTTTGCTAAAATATCTTTTGCACAACTGGACAGCGCTGACACCTGAGCTTTGAAATATGGCAAAGTGCTCCTTTTCCCCCAAGTGAATACCTTCACCTCAAGGAGTAAAGCAAGAAAAAGTAATGTTGAAAATCGGCGCAAAAAAAAGGGAGTGAGGCTGTGGCACAAGGCAAGTTATCACATAAAAACTATTTTCACTTTGGCATATTGAATAGCAGAGAAGGTGCAAGGGTATTTCCAATGTAATACAATACTATACAGGAACTGTGCTCATAGCCTTTGTATATAACAATGATGATCAAGGTAGAGGAAGGTGCCAAACATCACGCACCATTATTTGTTTATAAACTGTGAAATTTCTAAATCCTTCCAGGTCTAATGAAAAGGTCATGAAACTGAAAGATTAACTCAGTTCCTTTCTCTCGTCTCCTTGCCCACACATTGCCTGACCTCCTGATTGCTTCCAATTCCTGCTCTCAGCCTTCCTCCTGTACTCGGGGCTGATAAAACAAGCTGGGAGGGAGAACTTTACCTTCTGAAGCGAAGTCGCGGTCTGGAGCCAATCCTGCCACACAATGCTAATTAAAAAAAAGACTGCAGACTATCAGAATTATGAAAAAAAAATGTTGAATCATGGTTCACCTTCTGCTGTCTTAGTAAAGTATTTAAAATTCATTTCAGTAAAATACTAACTTAATCCCAAGAATGCTTCAAATTTATATAACTTTGGAATATTGTGATCACTCTTACAGCACACAAGCTTCGACAGTCAACTCTCTTCTCCTAAATATTCCAGATATTTTCTAATTAGAGATGCTGTTATGCACCTCTGGAACAAATGGGACTTGAACACAGATCCCTGAAGCAGAGATTGGACGCTACCACTGTGTTACAACAATCGTGTCCCTTAGAGACCCATAGGTTCAGTTCTTGCTTTCCAGAACCTCAGTTTCAATTACTACTTAAACCAGTCACTTCTGAACTGCACCACACTGTCAAGGACTTTACAGCGAGAAAACTGAGTGTAGAATACAGGAAAATCCAAATTGCTATTAGCACTGTTGGGAAATATACATTCAAACTGTAGCAAAATCCTCAAAGATGGGAGGATTTGTACAATAAAGAACTTGCTCGATAAATCAAACAGGATGGTTTTGGGTTCAATTTCTACGTTGTGCTGAATTAATCTATAGCTGAAGGGGATGCTAAATACTTAAGCCCCCTAGTGGCAACAGCAGAACATTTCCTTCTGTACCAGTGTGATACCGCCAACCACCCTAATGTTGTTGTTGAACAGTATTGCTAGCTTAGGGTCAATTTAGAAATAATTCCACACTCTTCATTAGGACTGCCTTCAGGAGCCAATTGAGAAGCAGTTCAGTTAGGTTTGCATTAAAAGGGAAATCCGAAATAATGGCATTATTTTATTTGCTAATTTTATTAGTGTAAGGATTATGATATCTGTTCTTGGTTAGAACCAGTGTTACGCTATGCTCATACTCTGGTGAGTAGCGATGAATTGATAGTTCCGTCTAATGGAACAATACTCCGCTTTAAACAGAAAATATAAGCCTCAGATTTGGATTCTCTTAAAGAAAACTTCATTCGCTGATTATCAACGAGCCTTCCTAAGTGGAGAAGAATATCTTATTATTCAGCAATCCCTATAAGGTTTGGATCCTCATCAAATGATCCTTAGCATTAATAACCAGAATCTTTGGGGGCTGTCACTAGATTAGCAGGATATTTATACATTTAAAAGGTTGTTGAATCTACTCCTTGTAATTCCAACAGGATCAATAAAGACCCCGGTGAGGATAGTTATCTATAACTAGGAAAGTGAAGATCAAGATAACAGGGTAATGAAATGATTGCCATGAGGATGGGATCGTGAAAGGGAAGACGGGATGTGAAAAGTGGTGATCAGTGGAGAAATACGCTGACTTCACTTTGAAATTGGGTAAGCATTTCTTGTTTTCTACTAAAACTTGTTATAGTTGGGGGCTGAGAGTGGTGTAGGCAAGGTCCCTTTTAAAAATGAGCCTCTCACCAAAATCTTTATATATTTCCAAACTAAATATTGCAGGAGCCAGCAGGCTTTTGGATCTAAATTGTAAGCTATTGTCCATGAACCACCACTCTGAAATGATATTCTGCGTTTGTAACTTAATGCAGATTGTACCTCCCTTCCAAAGTTTGTCATCATTTCCAGCATATCCTTTCAACCACTAAATTTAGGTTAATTTCTCCTAAGATTATATTTATTCAAACAATTCCAAAGGTTTCTCTACACTACTTGACTTTGATGTCTATAATAGTTCTAACTCTGCTAAAAGAACTGCTTTTGTCCTTTCATGCCTGTTATGTGTGTCTTTTTGTTCTGCTATCATGGCTTTAAGTAAACTGTTCTATCTTTATCTTCTCTACACCAGTAATGTTGTGTTTCCCATTGCTTTCATCCTCTTCCATCCTTCCGACATACTGAAGGTGCACCCCTGGAGAATTGGTTATGATCACCCAATACTGACATCAGTTTAACATCCTATGACACACCATTCACCAGTCAAGCCAGTGATATTTCTGCTGCTCACTCATTTGGTTTGAGACTAATTCTACTCAAGGACTTCCATTTGCTTTTTGTCTATTTACAGGCATAGGATAAAGAGCCAAGATCAAAGAAATGATCTCTCCAGCCCAGGTTAAATTGATGAGTTTCTTGGGACTTGCTGACTGCTCAGTAGTATTTTATTCCATAAAAGGCAAATCGAGAATTAATTGCTTTTTCAATCCTATCGGGGTGATTGGAATGGAACTTCTGAGTTTTCCACCCACCTTTAATAAAATGGACTATTTGACTTTGGTAGTCCTTTGCAACTGCAAAGTAATTATTCCAATTGAATTAAAATAAAACACTGGGAATAGAGACAACTTGCTGTATATCTATTAAATGGGAATGCATTTGAGAAAGTAACAACCAGGCTGGAGTTAGGAGCCAGTTACGTAGGTCAGTGAAGTTGTCCATGATACTTTGCAAATGGCTTGGTCTTGTAAGCAATCTTAGAAGCAGCCTGGGCAGGAGAGGGTTAACAAGAACCATGCACAAACATGCACACAGAAATGGACAATATAATTCATTAGATACTTACCACATTCATTGCCTGGATTCAAGAAAAGCACATCATTAATGGGATTGAACACAGTTTTCATTCAGTTAATCACAACAGTGAAACCTGCCCAGGTCACCTTGTTTCAACAACTCTGCTCCAACAAGTCAGTTGTTCAAAGGAGCTTAAGCCGTAGCTATGGAAATTGACTCAAAGCGAGTGTGTACTTTGATGGAGCAGAGACCTGCAAATACGGCCAAGACATTTGGTCATAGCCCTTGTTTAAGAGTAAAGGATGCTTGTGTTCCGATTACACTTAAGTTTGAACCAGTTTTGTGCTTTAATTGATGGTACCAATTTATGTTTGCTTGGATCTAACAGATGTATACTTAATGTAAAGTTTGCCTTTTATATCATTCAGTGCCTGCTCCTATTCGTTAATCATTATTCCCAAGTATTACCATGTTCAGACAATGGGTTGTCAAAAATCATGGGCATTCCTGGTAATAAGTGATGCTATGCTCCATAAAGGACAAGTGATTGCAGTACTATGGGAGAACGAATAATCCAATCACGGTTTTTCATTTTGCCTTTTAAAGATTTAGTGGCTAATTTTCTTTTTTAAATCCTCAATGTTCTGATCTCTGTACTGTTTTAAAAGGTGGAATGAAGCAGATTTTGTTAGCTTGTAGTGGATTTAGAGTACAAATGACTTTGCTATCAAGTCTCCTTCAGCATGTACAATTAACTTGTTTTTCCTTCTTCTGAATAATATTGTATTGTGTTGTTTTTGAATGAGTTCTTAGTGCTTACTAGTGGAAAGTCATTAGAAAGATAAAGTGACCCACTGACTGAAGTGGTCCATGACACACACCGTAAGATATAGGAACAAAATTAGGCCATTCCACCCATTGAGTCTGCTTCGCCATTCAATCATGGCTGATATGTTTCTCAACCCCTCTCCTGCCTTCTCCCCATAACCTTTGACCTGTTCACCAATCAAAACCTTCAAGGACTAAGTGGCTTCAGTTGTTGATGGAAACTTGTTAAGGAATAGCTGTGTGTTTGGAGATGAAAATTTCTAAGCAGGTTTCACTCAACAGGCAAAACAAAATGCAATCAATGGTGAGAGAACTTTTGATTGACACATGCATTATATATTATCTTTGGGAGTTCCATTAATTCAGTTCAAGTACTTTTTTTGAAAACTAGCCACAGTTGAGTGAAAAATTAAAAAGCTGGGAGCTGGCTAGACCAAAGTGGGGACTGAGTAACTCCGAAGCACAGCTCTTCCAAACTCGCCTAGTTTCTCCAAACAGACCATTATGTACACCGTACGGTAAGATCATTCATCAAGCTGAAAGCAGCAGGTAGTCACGGTTAGTCTATGTGCTTCCTGGGTACCAGTCTTTTGGATGAAAAGTAGACTCTGTAATTCATTCAGAACCTCAGTTCGGCCATTTAAGAATTACAGAATCCCCACAGTGTGGAAACAGGCCATTTGGCCCAACAAGTCCTCACAGATCATCTGAAGAGCGTCCCATCCAGACCTGTCCCCCAACCTTATCCTTGCATTTCCCATAGCTAGCGCACCTAACCTACATATCCCTTAACACTATGGGTAATTCAGCTGGGCCAATCCACCTAACCTGCACAGCTTTGGACTGTGGGAGGGAACCAGAATACCTGGAGGAAACCCACGCAGACACAGGGAGAACGTGCAAACTCCACGCAGACGGTCGCCTGAAGTGGGGACTGAACCAGGGCCCCTGGCGCCACAAGGCAGCATTGCTACCAACTGAACCACCGTGCCATTCAACAAGACATTGTAGCACTGTCTTTGGTACTTGTATATGCAGTACTGGTGACGACTGCCCTGCTAAATGGAATAGATGCAGAACAGATGTAGCTGCTCAAACGTGGCATTCATGAAGTTCTGGGGGCCATCAGCTGCAGCAACACCATATCTATTCTCCATCACTAACCTTATGGACTGGTAAATCCTCCCTCCTACTCTGCCATTACCATCAACCCAAGGACCAATTTGATTTAATGAGAAGTGCGAGAGGTCCAGACAGAAGCAAGACCAGAAATTTCTAACAATGACATGCACCTGGTGATGGTTACATGCATATCACTAGAATGCTATAGACAGAGCTGTGCCATCCCACAACTAATGGATCAGATCAAATCTTTGCAGTCCTTCACTCCATTGTGAATGGACATTAAACAACTAACTGGGGGAAGAAGGTCCCAAAATATCCTTAATGACAAGGCAGCCCAGTCTAAATAAAAGACCAGGCTGAAGCATTTGCAACCGTCTTCAGCCAGAAGTTCCTAGTGGATGATCCATCTCAGCCTCTTCCATTGGTCTCCAGCATCACAGATACCAATCATCAGCCAATTTGATTCATTCTTGTGAAGTTAAGAAAAAGTTGAAGGCATTGGATACTGCAAAGGCTACTGTCCCTGACAGTTTTCTGACAATAATACTGAAGACTAGCTCCAGAACTTGCCGCACCCCTAACCAAATTCAACCTGGCCAATTACCGCCCCCTCAGTCTCCTCTCGATCATCAGTAAAGTGATGGAAGGTGTCAGTAACAGCGCTATCAAGCAGCACCTGCTCAGCAATAACTTGCTCAGTGATGCCCAGTTTGGGTTCCGCCAGGGCCACCCAGCTCCTGACTTCCTTACAGCCTTGGTTCAAACATGGACAAAAGAGCTGAATTCCAGAGGTGAGGTGAGATGAGAGTGAGACTGACCACCCCAGGCATTGAAGACACAGTTAAGCAAATGTGGCATCCAAAGAACCCCAGCAAAACTGAAGCCATTGGGAATCAGGGGACAAACTCTCCGTTGGTTGGAGTAAAACCTGGCCCGCAGGAAGATGGTCATGGTTGGTGGAGGTCAGTCATCTCAGCTCCAGGACATCTCTGCAGGAGTTCCTGAGGATTGTGTCCTAGGCCCAACCATCTTTTAGATGCTTCATCTCAACCTTTCTTCCATCAGGAGATCTGAAGTGGGCATGTTCGCTGAGTGTTTTTGAACATTGTATATTCATAACTCCTCAGATATGAAAGCAGCCTGTGCCAATACATAGTAAGAACAGTGTTTTGGCCTGGGCGGAGGCACAACAGTGATGTCATTAGACTAGTCATCCATAACTCAAGGGGACCAAGGCAGTGGTGAGATTTGAATTCAATTAATAAATCAGTGATTGAGACTGTGACAACTACCATTGCTGTAAAAGCCCATCTGGTTCACTGATAGGAAATCAGCCTGCTTTCATCAGTCTGGGCTATATGTGATTCCAGCCTCTGGGCTATATGTGATTCCAGCCTCAGAGCAATGTGATCAACCCTTAACAGCTGTCTGTAATAGCCTAGACAACCACTCAGTTCAAGGGAAATCAGGGATTGGATTAAAATAAAAACTGAAAGAACTGCGGATACTGTAAATCAGGAACAAAAACAGAAGTTGCTGGAAAAGCTCAGCAGGTCTGGCAGCATCTGTGAAGGAAAAAAACAAGAGTTAACGTTTCGGGTCCGGGTGACCCGCAAAAAAATGTCGGCTTTACCAGTGATGTCCACATCCCAATGAAAGAAGAAAACAAAATTGAGGCAATCACCTTCATACTAGCAGCTGGTTTAAGAGCAGAAAAATGTAAAGATTCACAGAAGGTGTAAGCTCTGCTATTTCTACTCTCACTGACTAAGGTGAAGCAGTGATGTGCATGAACTGCTTTCAATCTGGTCTAAGGAAGTAATGTGGTCTCCTCCACACTGGAAATACCAAATACAGATTGGGTGACTGCTCTGTGGAACCTCCATTCAGATCACCTGAGAAGCAATTTTGCACCCTCCTCTCATGCTGACACTTTGTCATTAGGCTGCTGCACTGCTCAATGTAAGCTTTAGCAGCAGCTCCCCAGCTTTCCCGAGGTACTTTGAGTCCAGAAGGCTGGAATGTCAGGTTCTGCCGGACCATAATCTGTCCCACCCCCCAACCAGTCTGTTTCATTTCCTTTGCAGTTCACAGCACGTCCGCTCCTTGTTTCTTTCCTTGGCCCATCACCATTCTCTTTAGCTTGGGAGGACTCACTTTTCTGTCACTCAAATGCTCCTGTTGAGACAACAAGGTGCAGGGCTGGATGAACACAGCAGGCCAAGCAGCATCATACCTTTCTGCTCCTATGATGCTGCTTGGCCTGCTGTGTTCATCCAGCTCTGCACCTTGTTGTCTCGGATTCTGCAGCATCTGCAGTTCCTACTATCTCTGCTCCTGTTGAGCTCCTTTTTACTCCTTGACCCACTTACCTCTCGCCCCTGACATCTCAAACTTTTCTCTGTGACTTTGACTTTAAACGTTAACTCTGTTTCTCTCTCCACAGATATTGTGCTGAGCATTTGCAGCACTTTTTTTTTGTAAATTTCCGATGGTCAGCATTCACAGTATGCTGCTTTTCAACTATTGCAGAGATCCAAATTGGTCAACGCAGTTCTGGACCATTTTGGACAAGTTGGTGCACATACATCAATTGGACCGACTCCAAAACTGATGTAAAACAGCACAAACTCCAGGGAGTGTAAAACCTGCTGTGTAGTTTGCTTGCTTTTAAGGCAATTTGCTTGGCTCAACAATGGAGGAACTTGCATTTATATAGCAGCTATCTTAGAAAAAATGGAGCAACTGTTCTTTTTTTGTTAATTCAGTCACTTGTGTCGGTGAACAGGGTAATTTTTTTTAATGTACAGCAAGATCCCACAAACAAATGAATAATCAACAACCAGCAAAGAACAATTGATGACCAGTAGAACTGATCTTTAAATAAATGTGGTGCAAACCAGAGATTAATTGTTTTGCCTTTACCGTCAACATCTCATGTGAAGGTTGGCACCCCCAGTGATGCAAGGATCCTTTTTGTAACAAAGTGGAGGATCAACCTAAATTATGTGGTCAACTGTCTGGATGGGGGAGTGTTTCAACTCATCAGCTTGGTGTCACAGTTGCTGCAAAGGTCAAGCTCTTAATATAGCTACTTTGTGGGTTACG